GATCCGCACAGTCCGTCTCCAGCTCCGCGAGCGGTTCAGTACGGACCTTCCTGTCCTACGTCTGCACTCTGACAGAGGTGGTGAGTTCTCCTCCAACCTCTTGAGGGACTTTTGTCGTGGGGAGGGCATTCTCCAATCGTTCACGCTTCCGAACTCCCCTCAGCAAAATGGGATTGCTGAGCGCCGCATTGGCCTAGTCATGGAGGTCGCTCGTACCTCCATGATCCATGCGGCCGCTCCCCATTTTCTGTGGCCGTTTGCGGTCCGGTACGCTGCGCATCAGCTCAACCTCTGGCCCCGTGTCTCCTTGCCAGGGACCTCGCCCACACTGCGTTGGACGGGGAAGGTTGGCGATGCGTCGGTGTTCCGGGTCTGGGGTTCTCGTGCCTTTGTTCGCGATACGTCAGCGGACAAGCTCTCCGCCCGCGCCATTCCCTGCGTCTTCCTTGGCTTTGTCCCTGACGCGCCTGGCTGGCAGTTTTACCACCCCACCTCGCGCTGTGTCCTCCCCTCTCAGGACGTCACGTTCGACGAGTCGGTTCCCTTCTACCGTCTCTTCCCCTACCGCTCTGCCCCTCCCCCGCCCCCGCCGCTCTTCCTTGCTCCCAGTCCACCTCTAGTAGACCCCCTCCCACCCCAGGGTCCTGCTCCCTCGGGTGTGTCTCAGGTAGACCCTCTCCCTGGTACTGCGCTTGTTCAGGTAGCTGTCGGATCAGGTGCTGCTCCAGGTGCTGCGTCTGGGGGTGCTGCGTCTGGGGGTGCGGAGCCGGGGGGTGCGGGGTCTGAGGGTGCTGGGTCTGGGGGTGCTGAGCCTGGGGGTGCTGAGTCGGAGGGTGCGGAGTCTGGGGGTGCTGAGCCCCGGGGTGCTGCTTCGTCTGGAGGTCCTGCTGGTGCTTTGCCGCGACTGTCTTCGCAGCAGCTACGTGAGTGGCTTGTTCGGCGCGCACACCGTCGGAGTGGAGCTCCCGGAGCTGGAGGCGCTGGAGACACTGGAGCTGGGGGTGCTGCTGTTCCTGCTGTAGCTGGCGGTACTGGTGGTGCTACGGCTACTGGTCCTGGAGGTGCTCGTACCAGTGGTGCTGGAGCTGCCGGGACTGGTGGTGTTGGGTGCGCTAGAGCTGGAGACCCTACGGAGCCTGGAGCAGCTTGCGCTGGAGGCGCTGGAGCTGGAGGAGCTGGAGTTGGAGGCCCTGGTGCAGGAGTCGCTGGAGCTGCCGGAGCTGGAGTTGGAGGCACTGACACCGGAGGCGCTGGACCTGTGGGAGCTGGAGCTGTTAACCCTGGCGCTGGAGGTGCTGGAGGCACTGTGCGGCCGCGACCGTACTTTGTTCCCCTGGTTCAGCAGGTTCTTGGTGTCCCGTCTTCTACTGGTCTTCCTCCTCCCTTCCTGTGTCCACCGCCTGACTAGTCGCAGCCGTCGCTACAGCCGGCCTCCCCGCTACCTGTTCCATCTCCTTACACTGAGCAGTCTGGCGGTCTTACAAAGCATCGTGAGCCTGCGTCTCGTCCTGTCTCGCCTGTTCGCAGTGCTCGTTGCGCTCCTCGTTTGCGTCCTCCTCCTGTCCCCGCCACGCACGCTATGGTACTCCGTCTCTCCTCTGTTCCACTACGTGTTTCTCTGCCTGCTCCTCCTGAGTCCTCTTTTCCTGCGGTCCCTGACCCTGCGTCTGACCGCGCTCGAGCTGCCAGTCCCACTGTCTCTCGTCTCCTTGCCACTGCTGTTTTTTACCCTTCCTTTGAGTCTGCTACTGCGTCTGCTCTCGTTGCTGAACTGCTTGACTTTGCTGCTGCCTGCCGTCTCGACCACGCCACTGCTCTAGTTGCTGAGTCTTAGTCTGCCAGTCCTCCGTCCGTCGGGGGTGAGTGTGCTCTTGGCACGGACGTCCTTGAGGAGAGGCAGGAGGACTTTGTGTGTCTTGCAACTTCTGTACCTCGTTTCACTTCCATGCTGCTTGCCCGTGAGGGAGACCCGGATGCACCAGACATCCCGACCCCGCGCTCTTACGCAGAGGCGATTACAGGTCCTTACTCCTCTCAGTGGCAGGCAGCCATGGATGCCGAGATGGCATCCTGGAAGTCCACAGGCACCTACGTCGACGAGGTTCCCCCACCTGGGGCGAACATAGTCGATGGCATGTGGATTTTCAGGGTGAAACGGCCGCCGGGTTCTCCGCCTGCCTTCAAGGCGCGCTACGTTGCTCGAGGCTTCAGTCAGCGAGAGGGAGTTGACTACTTCCAGACCTTCTCCCCCACCCTGAAGATGACTACTCTTCGGGTGTTGGTGCACGTCGCTGCTCAGCGTGACTACGAGTTACACTCTCTGGACTTCCGCACAGCTTTCCTGCAGGGCAGCCTGCACGAGGAGATCTGGCTGCGCCAACCACCTGGTTTCACTAGGACGTTTCCTGCAGGTACCCAGTGGAGCCTCCGCCGGCCAGTCTACGATCTCCGCCAGGCGCCTCGCGAGTGGCACAACAAAGTGAGGACTACACTTGCGGCTCTTGGGTTTGCTCCTTCTACTGCGGACCCGTCGCTGTTTCTACGCACCAACACCTCGCTGCCACCGTTCTACGTCCTCGTGTACGTCGACGACCTCGTCTTTGCCACTGCTGACACTGAGGCACTGACCCTTGTGAAGTCCGAGCTGCAGAAGAGACACACCTGCGCTAACCTGGGTGAACCGCGCAGCTATCTTGGCCTGCAGATCACCCGGGACAGAGCACGGCGCACCATCACCCTGACCCAGTCACACATGGTGCACCAGGTCCTTCAGCGCTTCGGCTTCCAGTTCTTCTCGCCACAGCCCACTCCTCTGTCTACCAGCCACTCACTCTCAGCTCCACCTTCGGACGAGTCCGTAGAGCCGAGTGGTCCGTACCCAGAGCTTGTGGGTTGCCTCATGTACCTGATGACGTGCACACGACCTGACCTCGCGTACCCTCTCAGCCTTCTGGCTCGCTACGTGGCTCCCGGTAGGCACCGAAAGGTGCACTGGGATGCTGCGAAGAGGGTACTGCGTTACCTGTGCAGTACGTCGGGCATGGGGCTTGTGCTTGGAGGACAGGGTCTAGTTGTTCTCACTGGTCACGCAGACGCCTCCTGGGTTGACGACTCAGCTATGCAGCGGTCGTCACAGGGTTACACCTTCAGCCTTGGTTCCGGCTCTGTTTCTTGGCGTTCTACCCGCTCGTCTTCGGTCCTCAGCTCCAGTTGTGAGGCTGAGATCTACGCCGGGGCCATGGCTGCACAGGAGCTACGCTGGCTCAATGGCTGCACAGGAGCTACGCTGGCTCACCTACCTGCTGACTGACTTGGGAGAGTAGCCTCGTTCACCTCCAGTTCTGTACGTAGACAACAAGGCCATGATTGCCTTGTGTCAGGAGCACAGACTGCAGCACAGAACAAAGCACATCGCTCTGTGATACTTCCTTGCTCGAGAGTTGCAGCAGCGTGGCCAGCTTCGTCTTGCGTACGTGGCCACTCGGGCCAACACTGCTGATGTCTTCACCAAGGCACTTCCTCCTGGTGATCATCAGCGCTTTGCTACTGTGTTAGGCCTTGTGCCTACGTTGCCTCACTTGCTTACTGATTGACTCTGCTTGTACTGTGATGTATATATATACATGCATGCTTGCACTTGCTAGGGTATGATCACTGTATTGTTCGTTCTCTTTATATAACTCTGCATGTGAACTGGCCTTGTGGCCCTTTGCTTGTGCTCGGACTGTGTGGTGACTTTGTGATCCACCCTGAGCTTGCTTTGCTTTTCTTGACGGGTCTTGTGACCACTTGTTCTCCCCCACTTTGCCTATGGGGGTGTGTCAGAACATTATAGCTTATACATTTGTGTAGGCTGTAGTGGGGTAGACCATAAGGGGTACAACCCAATTAGGGTTAGTACTTGTACCCAAATGTTTGCTAGTTTATTCATTCTCGTTCGGTACTTTGACAATCCCCAGCAGCAACGATATTGCTCGCAGTAGCAACACCAGTGGCAACCGTGCCCGCCGCGCCCGTGACTGCACCCTCCTCCCCCTCCCCCTCTCCCCCTCTCCCCCTCTCCCTCTGCCTCTCCCTCTCCCCTCTCCTTTTAGCAGCAGCAGCAGCTGAGGCATCCCCAGTTGCAGCAGCAGCAGCCGAGGCATCCCCAGTTGCAGCAGCAGCAGCAGCAGCGGCAGCAGCAGCAACAGCAACAGCTCCGTCAGCGGCAGCAGCAGCAACAGCAGCAGCAGCAATAGCCGGAGGGGTCCAGCAGCAGCAGCAGCCGGCGGAGTGCCCCCGCTCCAGCAGCAGCACCTCCCCCTGGCCGCCGCGGGTCCACCCGCCGTCGCCTCCCCCTTGACCGCCGCGGGTCCACCCGCCGTCGTCTCCCCCTTGGCCGCCGTGGGTCCACCCGCCGCCGCCCATCATGGCCAACACCCCTCCTGTTCCTCTCCCCCCTCCTATCGACGCCTCTTCGGTTGACAAGCTGCAGCTTGCTGCAGATCGCTCCGCCATCAACTGGCACTCGTTCGTCGGCAGCATTCGCCGCGTCCTTCAAGACGCCTTCGTCGGACCCTACTGCGTCCTTGACGTTCTCCTTCGCCGTCCGCAGGCTCTCCAACCGACCGCACCCAATCACCCCGGCGAAACTCCTCCCCTCCCCCCCGCCCTGGCCCCCCTCCTCCTTAGCCTAACCTGACCGTGGCTGCTACCCCCAAGCTTCAGGCTGCTGCGGACGCCAGCTTCGTCCACAACCGCCGCGAATACTTCATCCGCAAGGCCGACCATGGCGTTGCTCTCCTCAACTATGAATTTGCCTCGTCAGAGCGTTCCACTCGCCTGGAGCTGATTGCGGAGTACAACACCTCCATGGCGGCTTATGTCCCCAACAGCATCGCCTGGGCCGCTGCCGACAACCGCGCTTGCACCATCCTCCTCGGTGCACTCCCCGACGCCCTTATGCGCCGCTTCCAAGCTCGGGAGATGCGCGCTCACTTAATTTGGACCGAGCCCAGTCTATGTTCGAGCTTCGCGACATCAGCTCTGTTGGCGTTCTATTCCAGGAGTATTTCTCCATCACCCTTGCCACCTGCGACGGCGCAGTCGACTATGTCGGGCGCATGCAGGAGGTCGCCGATCGCCTTGCCGCTCGCCAGGCTGCCCTTTCCGAGCCCCTGCAGATCCACCGTCTGCTCTTCAACCTCACGCCAGACTATGAGTCCCGCCTTCACGCCTTCACCGAGGCAAACCCCTTGGCTGTCCTCCCCGAAGTGACTCAGTGGATCATTGACACGGAGGTCAAACTCCGCACCCCCATTGTGAACCTCACCACCCCTCACTCCTCCTCCGCCTCCCTCAATGCCACGCAATCGCGCACTCAGGGTGGTCGCAATGGTGGTAGCGGGGGTCGTGGAGGGGGTGGAGGTGGCAGTCGGGGTAGTGGCCGTGGTGGCCGTGGTGGTAGAGGTGGTGGTGGTGGTCCTAGTGGCCCCGCTCCCGGAGGCTCCACTAGTGCTGGTGGAGCTGTGAGCCGTGGTGGTGGTTGCCCTGGGACTCTTCCCCCCTGCACGTATGTTCGCCGCCATGGTCCCCACGCTGGCACGCCGTGTGGTCAGACCAACGACCCCCCTGCCACCTGCTTCTAGGCGCTTGATGACGCCTGGTTCGACCGCGGCAACACTGGTACCCCTCCTCGCTGGAACAGTGTTACCCCTCGCCCCTCCCTCGTGGACATTCAAACCCTCCCCTCCTTCCTCCTCGCTCACCTCCGTCTACTCACCCCTTCCCCCCCCTCCTAGCTCCAGCAGTTTCAGCAGAACCAGCAGCAGCAGCAGCAGTACTTCCCGCAGCAGCAGCAGCCGCAGTTTCTTCAGCAGCAGCAGCCGCCGCATTTTCAGCTGCAGCAGCCCCCACAGCAGCAGTTCTTCCAGCAGCAGTAGCCGCCGCAGTACCTTCCGCCGCAGTGGCAGTAGCGTCCGATGACCTTTGGCGCAGCGGCCATGGCCGCTCATGCCTCCCTTGCTCCCCCCCCCTGGGGTTCCATTCCCTCTGCCCCCCCGAGTGTCCCTGACTCTCAGGGCAGTTTCCTTGGTCATGTTGTTGCTGCACCATCCGTCGCTTCCATGTATCCCTCTGCTATCAATGAAACGTCATTCCAGTACCCCGTGTCCCCTCCACCTCCTTCCTCCCCCACCTTGGACTTTGTCCTTGATAGTGGGGCCACAGAAACCGCACTCAAAGACGCTGGCAACCTCACCCCCCTCCCACTTCCCACCCAAGTTCATGGTGCTGACTCCAGCTTCTCCATCCCATGCACTCACCTCTCCACCCTCCCCTGCACCGCTTTCCCCTCCGGTAAGGTCACAGGTCTCCACATCCCTGCCCTTCGCAACAATCTCCTCTCTCACCGAGAACTCCAAGGTGTCGGTATTATCGCCATTTACCCCGGCTTTGCCAAACCTCCTCTGGTCGTTTTCTCCTGCGCATTCCCCTTTGCCCCCGCACTCGCCTTTACACTCTCCGCACACCCCGTCCCTCTTTCTGTCATGTTACCACTCATGCTGGTACTTCCACCGGTCCTCCTCCCCCTCTCCCTCCCCCTTAGGTATCCCCCTCCCCTGCTTCACTTCCCTCCTCCCTCCCCACTTCTTCTTCCACCCCCTCCCCCTCCTCCTCCACTGCCCTCTCCCACCCAGCAGTCATTCTGCATCACAGACTCGGCCATCCCAACTTCGCTGCACTTCGCACCACTATCACCTCTCGCCTCCTTCACAGCCTCCCTCCCACCTTACCTCCCCTCCTCTCCTCTCCTGCTCCCCCATGCCCATCATGCATTCATGGCAAGCTTAAGCAATCCCCCCATCACAGCCATCCCACCTTTGCTGCCGCCCCCATTGCCGTTGTCCACATGGATCTCTGGGGTCCCTATCCCATTCGCTCCCGTCAGGGGCACCGGTACATGCTCGTCCTCGTTGACGACCACAGTCGGTACTCCACTGTCTTTTTCCTCCACACCAAAGACCAGGTGCCGGCTGTTGTCATCAACTGGGCTGAGCAGTGCCGCAATCACTTCAAACGCCCCATTGGCCGCCTTCACTCTGACGGTGGGGGTGAGTTCATCAACAACACCCTTGCCACCTTCTGCACACTTCATGGCATCCAGCAAACTTCCACCCTTCCCCACTCCCCTCAGCAAAATTGCATTGCTGAGAGTCGCATCCGCGAAATCACCAAAATTGCCCGTTGCCTCATTGCTCATGCCTCCACCCCTCCCTCCCTTTGAAGCTATGCCCTTCTCCATGCCGCCCTCCTCCTCAATCTCTGCTCCCACCCTCAGCATCCCTCCTCTTCCCCCACAGAACTCTGGTCTAAGGCCAAGCCTGATGCTGCCGGCCTTCGCGTTTGGGGCTGCAAGTCCTTCGTCCTCATCCCACCGGCCGATCGCTCCCGTGCCGCCGGCAAGCTCGCCCCCCATGCCCTTGAGTGCGTCTACCTCGGGCACAATCGCGACTCCCTAGGCTACGTGTTCCTCCACCCTCCCACCAACCGCCTCATCCGCAGCATTGACGTCGTCTTCGACGAGTCCATCCCCTACTACTCCACTCCTCCTCCTGACCCTCTCCCTCCTCCCTCTCGCCCCCTTGCCTGGACTGACACTGTCCTCCCACCTCTCCTCCCTCCCTCTCCTCTCCTCCCCCCAGTTGCCGCTCCACTCCCTCCGTCCTCCTCTGCTGACGTCTATGACCCCGCCGCACCCGCCTCCCCGGCCCACTCCGCTGTGCCCCCTCCTCCCTCTCCCTCCTCCTCTCACTCCCCCCCTTCTCTGCAACTGCCGGGCCAGCAGCAGCAGCAGCAGCGGCAGCCGGGACAGCAGCAGAGACAGCAGCAGCAGCAGCAGCAGCAGCAGCAGCCGGGTCAGCAGCAGCAGCAGCAGCAGCAGCAGCAGTAGCCAGGTCAGCGGCAGCAGCAGCAGTAGCCGACTCAGCAGCAGGGGCAGCAGGAGGTCCAGCAGCAGCAGCAGCAGGAGGTCCAGCAGCAGCAGCAGCAGCAGCGCCACCGGGCAACTTCCCGCTCCTCCCCTTTCCTCCTCCCTCGAATGCACACTCGATCCATTGACAAGGTCTTTGGAGCCCCTCCTCCCGCCTCCATTCAGCTCCTTGAGGAATCCCATGCGGAGTTCCTCACCATTCGGCACCACACTCCTTTCCTTGCCTCCATCTTTCATGACTTCCTTGGCATTCCCGTCCTTGGCGCCACCTCCACCCCCACCATCTTCACTCCCTCCACCTTTAAAGAGGCCATCGCTTGCCCTGATGCGGACATGTGGATTGCGGCAATCTTCCTGGAGTGTGAGGCCTTCATTCGCAACGACTCCTTCGTTAATGTCCCCCTCCCGGCCGATGCCAACCTTGTCGAGGGCAAGTGGGTCTTTCGGGTGAAGCAGCAGCTGCTAGGCGAAGATCCGGTCTACAAGGCCTGCTATTGCGCTAAGGGGTTCACCCAGACTTGGGCTGAAGATTACTGGTTCACCTACGCCCCCACCGCTAGGCCGCCCACCCTCCGCACCCTCCTCGACTTTGGTGCGCGCGACGACATGGAGGTCTGTTCCATGGACGTCTCCAATGCGTTCCTGCAAGGGGAACTGCGCGAGCGCATCTTCCTCCGGCGACACCCCGGGTTCCACGCCGCCTTTCCAGAAAACACTGTGTGGCTGCTGCGTAGACCTGTCTACGGTCTGAAGCAGGCACCTCGGGAGTGGCACGCGAAGCTGTCTGCCACCCTGGGATCCCTTGGCTTCTCTACCTCGCATTCTGACACCAGTCTCTTCCTTCGCTCCTCCCCTCGCCGCTTCTTCATTCAGGTGTATGTGGATGACATGACCCTGCACGCTGACTCCAAGACTGACATGGAGCAGATGAAGCAGCAGCTGCAGCAGCGCCTCAAGTGCAAGGACCTGGGCAACCTCACACACTACCTTGGCATGTCTATCACTCGCGACCGTCCCGCTCGCACCATCACCCTCTCCCAGTCTCATTACATCGGCCAGATCTTGGAGAAATTCGAGATGACTCAGGCCAGTCCCATAGCCACCCCCCTCCCTTTCGGCCACCAGCTTGCTCCACCCACCTCGCCCTCCTCCTCCTCTCACCCTTATGCTGAGCTCGTTGGGTCGCTAATGTACGCTATGATGTGCACCCGTCCCGACCTCGCCTACCCCATCAGCGTGCTCGCTCGTTTTGTTGGCCCTGGTCGCCACACCGAGGTGCACTGGAAAGCTGCTAAGCGGGTCCTCCGCTACCTTTGCGGCACCAAGGAGCACGCTCTCACTCTTGGTGGCTCCTCCCCTCCCTTCCTTTCAGGCTTTAGCGACTCCTTTTGGGCCGACTTGCAGCCTGACCGCCGCTCCTCTCAAGGCTACGGCTTCACCCTCGGCAGCGGCCTTGTTAGCTGGCGCTCCACACGCTCCTCCTCCGTTTCCCTCTCCTCCTGCGAGGCTGAGCTCTACGCTGGCACCATGGCCGCCCATGAGTCCCGCTGGCTCTGCTTTCTTCTTGCTGAGCTTGGCGCCCCTCAGCCCTGCCCCACCCTCTGGTGTGACAACGCCAGCACCATCCACCTCACTCAGGACCCTGTCTACCACGCCCGCTCCAAGCACATCGAACCACGCTACTTCTTCATCCACGAGCTCGTCTAGCGCGGCCTTCTTGCTGTCTGCAAGATTGCTGCCGAGGCCAACTTGGCCGACAACTTCACCAAGGCTCTCCTTCGCCCTGCGCACTCTGCTCTCCTCCGCCTCATTGGTCTTGCTCGCCCGGGCGCCCCCTGATTCAGGGGTTGCTCCCTTCTTGTGTTAGCCTGCTAAGGGGTTGTGTTAGAATTCCCATGTTCTAGCATGCTAACACTTGTGACTGTACACCAATTGTGGTGTACATTTGGGTTGGGACTACACCCAACTTTGGGTGTAGTCTTGCATTTTGGGGTGCCAATCCAACCCAATTGTGGTGGAGCCCCCAAATGCAACCCTATGGGCCACGGGTTGGCCCAATCCTCCAAGTGTGGCCAACCCAACCCAATGGGCCATATGTTGGCCCACTCCCTCAAGTGTGGCCAACCCAACCCAATGGGCCATAGGTTGGCCCACTCCCCTAATCCCACCTCCCTCCTTTCCCTTCCAACCCTCTCTTCCCAAAAGCTATGTATGCTTTCTAATGATCGAATCAAGATAATGCTTCAATTTCGTTTCTTCACAGGCCCGACCGTCGCCCGTCGCCCCTTGCCCCGCAGCCCATCGCCCCTAGCCTAGGCCCCGGCCTCGCGGCCCGTCGCCCGTCGACACCCCTAGGCCCGACCGTCGTCCGTCGCCCCTGGCCCCGCGGCCCGTTGCCCCTAGCCTAGGCCCCAGCCCCGCGGCCAGTCGCCCGTCGACCCCCCTTAGGCCCAACCGTCGCCCGTCGCCCCAGGCCCCGCGGCCCGTCGCCCCTAGCCTAGGCCCCGGCCCCGCGGCCCTTCGCCCGTCGACCCTAACCTAGGCCCCGGGCCCTCGGCCCATCGCCCGTCGACCCCCCCCGCGGCCCCACGGCCCGTCGTCCCTAACCTAGGCCCCGGCCCCGAGGCCCGTCGCCCGTCGACCCCCCCTAAGGCCCGACCCTTGCCCGTCGCCCCTGGCCCCGTGGCCCGTCGCCCCTAGCCTAGGCCCCGGCCCCGAGGCCCGTCGCCCGTCGACCCTCCAAGGCCCGGCCGTAGCCCGTCGCCCCTGGCCCCGCGGCCTTTCGCCCCTAACCTAGGCCCCGGCCCCGAGGCCCGTCGCCCGTCGACCCCCCCCTAGGCCCCGACCCCCGTCACCCATCGCGGCCCGTCGCCCCTAACCTAGGCCCCGGCCCCGCGGCCCTTCGCCCGTCGCCCTAACCTAGGCCCCGTGGCTAGTCGACCCTAGGCCCCGTGGCTAGTCACCCCTACGCCCTTCGGCTCGACCCCCCCTAGGCTCCGGCCCGTCGCTCTCGGCCCCGCGGCCCGTCACTCCAGGCCCCTCAGCCTGTCGCCGCTAGGCCCCCGACCCGTCGCCCCTAGGCC